TTTTTTTTTTTTTTTTTTTTTTTTTTTTTTTTTTTTTTTTTTTTTGTAGCCTTGACCGTCCTGCTGTCCTGTACTCACTTTGTAAACCAGGCTGGCCTTGAATTCACAGAGATCCACCTGCCTCTCCTTCCCAAGTGCTGGGATTACAGGCATATACCACTATGCCTGGCTGACCTTAACATTTTCTTTTTCCAAGACAGTTTCTCTATTTAGCTTTGGCTGTCCTGAACTCCCTCTATGGACCAAGCTGGCCTCGAACTCAAGAGATCCGCCCGCTTCTGCCTCCTACGTGCTGGAACTACAAGTGTGTGCCACCATGCCCAGCTCCAGAGCCTCTTTTGTGAGAGCTGTGTTCCAGGCAGGCACTACCCATTCTGGCCTGTGCAGTTCTGGGGATCAAACCCAGGCCTTTGTACATGGCAGGCAAGCACTCTGAGACACTGAGCTATGTCTCCAGTCCCAAGGGGAATATTTTAACATTAACAATTACTGCCAAGCAGGTTAAGTGTGTGATGAGGGGTAGAAGACAGGGCTTACCATGGGAACAAAGACACTTAGGTGTGTGTGTGTGTGTGTTTATATCTTGACTATGAGGTGGTATATGAAGTAAAATGTATTAAATTGCACATTATTGAGGTTTATTTTCCATCAATTACACTTCAAGATAAAATGACATATTTCTGGCCTCATTTTATCATTTATTTTTAATTTATGAAGAGCTTCAAAAAAAGAAAAAATCCAGAAGTTTCCTGGGCAAGGGAGGGATGCTGCGGTTCCCAATACAGCAATTCTGTATCAGTTTCCCAGCACCATTTAATGTGTGTAAGAGTAACTGGGGCAGAATAAAGGGTACCTCATCACCCCATGGCCAGAGTGCCGCCCAGAGGAAGGAGGCTGGCTTGCTGGACTCTCCTGCCCCCTGCAGCCACAAGGGCGTCAGTCCAGGGAGAGATCAGACAGGCTCTGGGCGCAGTCCTGCAATATGTCGAAGTTGGGTACGGAGAAGGGCACCCGGGACCACTTCTTGGCCTGGATCCTCCCGCGAGGCGTCTCCAGTAGCATGCTTTGGATCTTGAGTACTGGCAGCGTCACTGATTTGTAGATCATCTGGAAGCCCCAGGCCTGGCGGTGGAAAAGATGGAAGCATCGGTGGGTTTCGGTCCTCAAGCTGGACTTCTGTGATGACCAGGCCTCTGATGGCCTCTACCACTAGAGGCCATCACACAGTGGCCTGAGAGGTCCTGAGAGGACCACCACAGACTGTGGCTCTCCCACAGCAGGGCTGGTTCCCACTCTGGGTGAGGGCTTGAAGGCATCAGCTGGGCCTCCTCTCCCAGACCAAAGGCCTTTGGAGTCTGGGGCTGGGGGCTTTTCGGCCTGGTCTAAGGTCTCTCACTTACCTCCCCACAGTTACTGCAGCTAATGGAACTGCCAGGCCTCCAGTCCTTGAAGACCTTGTTTATGACCACGGGCTTCTGGGAGGTAGTATAGTAGGTCCTAGAGAGGATAGAGTAAACAGAGCCGCTTGGGAGCCCCTGTACCCCAGATTTCATGCCCTGTGGCTGGCTGAGTCCCTGCCAGGGCAGCAGGCCTTTCGGCCTGTCAAGATACAGAATTTCCCAGAACCAGGAAGTCTAGACCCTCAGGACCATCTGCCTGCCCTGTCTGCACCCCGTTCCTGCACCCAGGCTTGGGAACCTTTTGTCTCTCTCATGAGTGATTTCAAGTTTCCGTATAGATCTGCTCCTTCGTCCTTATTTCCAGCCCCGAGCCATCTCCCAACACCTGAAAAAGTGGCCTAGAAACATCCACCCATCCTGACATTCCCTGGCTCAGAATGCATTAGCGCCTCCTGGATAAAGGTTTAACTTTCAGGTCCAACCTACAAGCTGTTCCATGACCCGGCCTGTCTTCATCCTGCGTCACTCCCGACCCTCCTCCTCTCAGGGTGAGTGTGATCCCTCACTCTCACCTAGAAGCATCTTCCCGTGTTCAAACCCCACCACCCTCCTTTCTCCTACCTAGCTGAAATGCTCTCAGAGGGGGCCTGTGTGAAGAACTCTGGTGCTGTGGCCTGACACAGGGGAGGTGTTTAATAAGCAGTTACTTAGTGAATTAAGAAGTAAGGTGACACTTTAGGAGGCAGGATGGGGAGGCTCAGTGGGAGAGCCGGGGCTGTTTAATATAATTCGGCGTGTGGCAGGGGTTGGGGAGGCTCCTGGGAGCGACCATACTCCTGTGGAGGTCAGAAGAGAGGCTCTGGGAGTCTCTCTCCTTCTCCCATGGGGGTGTTGGAATCAAGCTTGGGCCATCTGGATTTTGAGACAGGGTCTCATGTAGCCCAAGATGGCCTCCACCTCCCCATGTAGCTGAGGATAACCTTGACCTGCCTGCTGATCCTGCTGCCTCTATCGCCTGAGTGCTGGATTATGGGTGTGTACTATCATAGCCAGTTGCTCAGGATCCAACCCAGAGCTTTGTGCATTCTAGGTATAAGTTCTACCAACTGAGCTGCATCAAAGACAGGGTTTCTCTATGTAGCTCTGGCTATCCTGAAACTCACAGTGAAGATCAGGACCCTTCCAGCCTGGCCTGGAAATCTCCGTGTAGCCAAGGGTGACACCTTGAACTCCTCCTACCTCTCGGGTACTGGAACTACAAGCATGCACACCACCACACACCAATTCAGCTACAACTACTACTACTTTTCTTTTTCTTTCTTTTTTTTTTTTTTTTTTTCTTTTGAGATGGAGGCCTTTCTGTTGCTCTGGCCGATTCTGACTTCCTAGGCTCAAGTAATTCTCCTGCCTCAGCCTCCTGGGTAGCAAGAGACAGGCCACCTCACCTGACAGGTGGACCTGTGGAGTCAGTTTATGGCTGAATTCTTTGCATCCTAGATTTCAGTTCTCTTTCATTCACCTCATGGCTGTGGGAGCTGAAGCAAGGCACCGCACCTCTGCTTCTCCGCCTCTGGGCTGGGGCTGGGGCTAAAACCCGCTTGCTAACACTTTCTTTAACCTCCCACGCCCTGCGAAAGCCCTTTCTCATCTTGCCAGCCCTCCCCCCACGGCTCTCACGAGAAGTTGGGGTTCACATTGACGTGGTGGGTGCCCTCCACCTTCCGAAGGTCGCTGCCGTAGCCCACGGCGATCATGCAGTTGATGCAGAGGAGCTGCACCTGCTCTGGCGAGAACTGTTGCTGCAGGCTCTCTCGGTGGGCCGTCCTTGCTGCTCGCTTAATGAGAGCCGCCAGCTGCAGGTCCCGGATCTGGGGGGCGAAGGTGGGGGAGAGGTGACAGGGACATGGATACCAAGAGACCCAACCTCAGGAGGGCCCCCAGGGCCCCCAAAGATCTCAGGTCATTTTTACCCAGACCCAGGAGGGATCTGTTTTTGGAGGCAGCGTCTGCCACTGAGCCTGAAGCCTCCTGACTCAGCAAGCACAGAACTCCTTCTGTCTCAATCTTCCCAGAGCTGAGATCACAGGAACACATTGCCACGCCCAGATTTGTACCGGGTTTGGGAATGTGAACTCAGGTCCTTGTGCTTATGTGACCCCTTTGCTGACTGAACCATGTCCCCATTCCCATGAGTTTTGAAGCTTTGTGAACAAAAATATGGGTACAGGGCTGACTCATGCCTTTAATTCCAGCACTTGGGAGACAGAGGCAAGCAGACCTCTGTGAGTTCAAGGCTAGCCTAGTCTATAGAGTGAGCTTCCAGGACTACACAAAGAAACCCTATCTCAAGAAACAAAAACCAAACCAAACAAATAAACAAAAATACAGGGACAGAAGACAGCATTTATGCGGAATCTGTTTTCCCTTTGAGAAATGTCATGCAAAACTTTTTTTTTTTTTTTTTACTCTATCATGGGACATCATTATATTGGGACAACAGGACTAAAGAGAACAATTTGGACACTGCTTCCGAGATCAGTACATTGTTCCAATCTTAGCTTCTGCTTGTGTCTTTGTTTTCCTTCTCTTTCCAGAATGACTCTCACAAACAAAGTACCTGTCCTTCCTCCGCTGTCCCCCACCGTCTTTAAAACGCAGATTCCCATGTATCTCAGGCTGGCCTACAACTTGCTGTTGTAATGAAGGGTAAGGGTACATTGGGACAAGGCCTGTTTCTAAAGTCTTGCAGAGGACAGGCCTGCCATCTCCTGGCAACATTACCTTGCCCTTGATCTTTCTCTGCATTGTATAAAAGTTCCCTGGGCAAGCCTGAAGGGGACCCCAGGAGTGTGTGCAGTCGGAACCTCAGGCTCTCACAGGCTGCAGCAGGCTGCCTGCTGACCTTGGCCTTTAACTCCTTGGGGTCCATCTTCTGTACTGCAGCCACTGCCTGCTCCATCAGCACCTCCAGAGCCTCATTGGTCAGCTCCCGACGCAGCTCCCGACTGCCCTCTGTCGCCACAAAGGAGTACACACTCTGATCGGCTCGGGCCCGGCCCCTGGCCTGGGAAGAATGGCAAAAGTGAGGCAGACTTGGGCCAGGGTCCAGGTGGTAAGGGATCCTTCCAGGGCTGTTGTAGTGGGGAGGAGGGATTTAGAGTACCTGGACCATGGAGATCTCATTGGTCAGGAGCCCATAACGCACCACCACATTGCACTGGGCGATATCCAGCCCCTCTTCGGCCACACTTGTGGCCACTAGGAGGTTCAGGGTACCAGCCCTGAACTCCTGGATCACTTCTTGCTGGTCTTTCTGTTGGAGGATTCGGGGAGGAGGAAAACGTTTATGGGAACCCAGAGTCCCAATCTCATCCCCAGGTCTCCCCAAGATCCTGCCCATCTCCCCTAGTGACCCCCAATCCCTAGGACACTCCTCCTTCCCTATGTCCCTCCTTCCCTCTCTCCCCTCCACCCTTCCGCCCTCCCTCCCTTCTTTCCTTCCTTTCTTTAAGAGATTCTCACATATCTCAGGTTGCCCTTCAACTTGCTGTTGCAGCCAAGAAGACCTTGATCTTCTGGCTTTACCGCCCCTAGCTTCTAGCTTCTGAGTGGCGGGATTACAATGGACTACCAGCACCTGGCTGGTGGCTTTGTGCTTGTTAGGCAAGCATCCTATCAGCTACCTCTTGCCTAGGAAGATTCAATCCCACTCCTCCCTCCCCCACAGCCTTCCTGCTGTCACTCTGCGCTGGGGACCCTGTTCCTTTCTTCCCTATGAAATGTCTCCAGCCAAAAGCAGACACCTGAGTCATGTGTGCGCTCTGGCTGGCACTCCCCGATCCGATCAGCATCTGAGGCTTGACATCCGCACTCTGTAGGCCAGGGTGCTGCTGAAGCCAGAGCAGGAGGGAGTGAGCACTCTGGCGGGTTCTGGTGAAGATGATGCCTCGAGGGCAGTTGGGACTCCTAAACTGCTTGAGCAGGATCCCCTCCAGCATCTCCAGCTTCGGGTTCTCGGGTCCGTGAGCCGCTAAGTGGGCTAGCATGTTTTTGTTGCCTGAGAACACCAAAACAGACACAGGGGCACAGGGCTCAGGCCTGGGTTGTAGACAGGGTGCTCACAGGGACAGGGCTGTAGGAGGCTGGGACACTTGCTCCTGTTCACTCCCAGAGCTGATCCAAGGGCATGCTTAAGGACACAGGTGCCACTTACTCTCAAGGCCAGAGCAGCCCAGGCTGGCCTTAAACTCTGCCTTCACTTCCTAAATCCTGGAGTTACAGTCATGGGTCCCTGCACTGTATGCTGGGGAACCAAACTCGGCCTTCATGCATGCTAGGTAAGTGCTCTAACCACTGAGCTGCACTCCAGCATCCCAGTCCCACCCTTGTGCTTTTCTTTTCCTTTTTTCCCTGTTTCCCTTCCTCCTTCTCTTCCTCCCTCCCTCCCTTCCTTCCTTCTCTTTTTTTGTCCAAGACAGGCTTTCTCTGTGTAATAGCCCTGGCTGTCCTGGAACTCACTCTGTAGACCAGGCTGGCCTTGAACTCAGCGATCTGTCTGCCTCTGCCTCCTTTGTGCTGGGATTAAAGGTGTGTGCCACCACCATCCTGGCCTTTGAGCTCTGCAGACTGATCTCTGACACCCGGATAGCTTCAAGCCAGATTTTCCCGGACCACCTTCGGTCATGTCAGGCGTCTATCAAAATTTTGTTATTACCATGTATGTGCACAGTATGTGTTTATGGGTGTGTGTGCCATGGCATGTTACGTAAAGAGGGTATGGATTCCATCCTCTCTCTCTCACCGAGAAGAGTTCACCATTTGACACGATGAACTTGCCAGCGAGCCCCAGGAATCCTGGTGTCCCCAGCACCCACCCAGGTGCTGAGATGACAAGTCTGCTGTGCCTGGTTTTTAAGTGGGTTTCTGGGATTTGAATCCATATACCGCCAGGGAGCCATCCTATATGGTTTCAGAGCATCTTTGCTGGGGGCCTGCCAAGATGGCTCAGAGAGCAGGAGCGTCTGCTACTAATCCTGACAGTTCCAGTTCATTCCCCAGCACCCACGCTGGAAGGAGAGCACAAACTTCTTCACATCGTCTTCCGACACCCGGGAGCGACCCCCAACCTCCCCCCCCCCGCCTCCCCCCCCCCCCCCCCCCCCGCCCCCGACGTGCATGGTGGCACATGGTAGCCACGCCCACACACCTTCCTCTCTCCACAGGAGAGACACGTGTAACAAGAAACTAAAATACCTCTGTCAGTAACCTGAACTGGTTTTCCTGTTACAAACCGTCACGCTCGAGGAAACAAGTTAGCCCTACTAGTAGCCTCGGGTTTTGGCTAGGAAAAACAAGAGACCCAGGACCGTCGCTGGGTCCTGGTAGCTGCTGCCCACCCGGAAGTGCCCTTGAGCTCTCAAGCAGTTCTTAAACCCCGGGTGGTGTCCTCACCCGTGAAGAGCTCCAGCAGCCAGCGCTCGGCGTGCAGCAGCTGCTTTTTGGTGGCCTGCTCTCTGTCGTAGAAATCTTGCAGCGTTTCGAGAGCGTCCCTCGCACGGACAGTATCGTGGATGAACAGCGCATCGTTGTAATGCCGCAGATGCAGCGCATACACGCGCTGTTGCTGTTGCCTGGCCTCCGCGGCTGCAGGAAAGGAACGCAGGATCGGTGATCCTGAGGCTCTTCCACCCCTCAAGGTTCCGCCCACACAGGCCCTCCTTAGCTGCCTCTCTCACCAGCCTTTTTCAATTCCATGATTTGCTGCTCATACGTCTGGGTCCCAAATTGCTGGCTCAGGTTAGGTATCTCTAATTGCTGGTGGATTTGGTTCATAAGCTTTTTTAGCAAGTCTCCAAAGGGATCCTGGGCAAGGAGGAGGGAGGCGGAGGAGGGAACTTGTTGTGGAAGTTTTGGTTTATAATATGTGAACGTGTTTTTTGTTTTAATCCCAGGTGTGGGCTATGGGGCTGATTCAGATGGTCCACAGCAGCAAACCATCTGCCTCGTGCGGGCTGAGTGGGGGCTCTTTGCCAGATGGTTTAAATCTGAGGACTCTGGAGAGGGAATAAATGCCAGAGCCCAAAGAGTGTTGAGGGGCTCCAGGAAGAAGAATAGGGCTGGTGTCCCCTCCCCCCCCCCCCCCCCAGCTCCTGGCTCCTGTTGATGCAGCCTGAAAAGAAATTGGAGATATTCTGAAATGAGGATTGGACTTGTCCCAAGAAACCTGACAACCCTAACCAGCAGAAAGTAGCTAAAGAGAACTATGCTCTCTCTCTCCACTACCCTTTCTCTCCTACCCGGTGTTGGGAGGGACTGGGATGGAGAAAGGTATGAGACACCCCAATAAAATAGTTTTAGAAAGCAACTTCCACGGGGATTCCTATACACATGGGAGGGTTAGGTATTATGTAGGACTCGGGACCTTTCCCTGAGAATGAGAACTTCAAAGTTCTGGGTGTTGAAGCATCCAGAGACAGAGGCCAGGCCCTTGTATGCAGTTTCTACTGTCTCACCCACTTTATACCTTGGCCCTGTGGCCTGGGCACAGTGATGTTGGGAGCCCTGGAGCAGACTTGTCATTACAGACATCAGCAAGCATCACTACTGAAGAAGAGAACTGGTCTAGCCTTGACACCAAGTACCCCAGCTTCAGGGCGTGACAGTATCATGAACAGTAGGCTATAGACTTGGGCTCGTGTGTCTCAGAGCACAGAAAAGGCAGGTTGATTAATGGGTACAGGCAGGCCCGAAGTGACAAGAGCTGGAGAAGGTGGGGTCGGGGCCCAAGCCTAGGTTCCCTAACTCTGCACCGGGCTCCCAAGCCTGCTCTGTGACCCCTCACGCACCCTAATTCTGCACCGGACTCCCAAGCCTGCCCTGTGGCCCCTCACGCACCTGTCTGCGCCTTTGGCAGAGGTCATATTGCTTGCAGGGTTTTGGGTTGTATGCCAGCAGCTGGGAGCGACATTTCTCTGGTGACATGATGTGCCATGCATCCAAGTTAGCACAGAGCTGGAGACAACAGAGAGGCATCACTGGAAAGAGGAGTCAGAATTTTGAGGGAGGTAGGGCTCCTGGCTAGGGGCCATTGGAAGTTAGGATCCATCTCTGCAATAAGTTTGAATGTGCACCCTCTGAATTACTAATATTCTAGCACTGATGAGAGAGAAACTTAGATTTGAATGAACATGAAGAAACCATTGAAAAACAGCAAAGAATATAGAACACACCAGGCAGTCTGAACAACATCCCAGACGCTACAACTGTTGCTATGACAGGGCAGTGGGGATGGCGGGGGGAGGGGTGGGGGGGTGGGAGGGAAGACTAACAGTGACAGAGCTGTTTTCAGGAAAGGTGGGAGGGAACCAGACGGAGGTTCAACAGCAAGGGCATTCCAAGCAAAAGGAAGAGTAAGTTCAAGCCCAATATGCCCAAGATACTGGAGGAGACCAGTGTAGCCACAATATGAAAGGTAGTGTTGGTAGGGCTGGGAGAGGCAGAGCAAGCAAGGAGGGAGGGCCTCAGGGGCTCAGCTGACCTGTAGGATGTGGTCGATGGCTCCCTGAAGCTTGGTGGCCCCTCCAGTGCCTGGGGAGGCGGTGAGACCCAGCACCTGGGGAAGGGGCTTTGCCTTGTGGAGCTTATGCTCCAGGTACCGGCTCAGGATGCTGTTGTAGACAGTGTCCTTGTGGGTGTGGTGACACTCGTCCACCACAATCAGCGAGAACTCTGTGTGTGTGTCGGGGGGGTGGGGGTGGCGGGCACATGAGTTATGAGCTGCACCCAGTGGACCTCTTCCTCCCAGCAGTTTTGTCAAGTCCCCCCTCTTGACTGAAGACTCCCCTCTTCCCTTCCCAACGTTGGGCTGGGTCCCAGACAAGGAGCAGGCAGGAATGACTTCTCTACAATTTATAGATTAGGACATTGAGGTTCGGCTGTGGGGAAGGGGCTTCTTTGCCCAAGAATGGGGGCTGCTCATTCCCACACTGACTGGAGGCCTCAACTTTTCCCAGGACCCCCTGCCCTCACCTGTGAGCTCCACGTGTTCCTCCTCATCCGAACTGATCAGTGCCAGCTGCAACAGCTCTGCTGTGCAGATGAGCAGGTCATGTCTCCGGGCTATTTGGCCAAAGCCAGCTCTGGATCCCATGTCCCCACTCAGGGTTGTCATGGTCCAGCATTCATCTAACATGCCCCTGAATTCCTCAGCATGCTGGTTCACCAGATGCACCTGGGGAGTGAAGGATGAAAGGAGAGAACTGAGATTGGGGTCAGGGTGGGAAACTGGGAGACGGTAGTTGTTGGGAGTTGGGGTAGGGGAAGCTGCGAGGAATAAGGCGGACCCTTCAGGACATTGCTGCGTTCTGAACCAAGGTAAGAAGACCTGGAGGAGATGTCGTCTAGAAGAGACCAAGAACTGTCCCAAAGAGCTGAGACCCCATTTCGGGAAGGGCAGAACACTCACCCTGTTGACTAGTACCACCACCTTGCCTCTGTCCACTGTCTCTAGATGCCTCTTGGCCACAAAGGCAGCTGCCCGGGTCTTCCCAGCACCCGTGGGCAGCCAGATAATGACATTCTCGCCCTCCAGAGCAGGTAGGATCACTTCCCACTGGTAGGGCCGCAGCTCCATTCTGGAATGGCAGAAGGCTCAGAACCCCTGCCCTCTAGCCAACCCCTCCCCCACTCTCTGCCAGTCCAATCAGTTGCAGAGGCTGTTCTCCGATAAGAACTCCCAGGCGATCTGTGGGAGGTGGGCCAGAGCACCATGTATACCCACCTGGAACCTGCTCTGGCCATGACTGTGGTGGCTGTTAGGGGCGAGTAGCAGGCTAGCCTAGCCCCTGCTCAGCCCCTGCTCTGAAACTGCCTTTCCAGAGCTGGCAGCTCTGTCATTAGAAATGAAACTGAAACAAGGGGAGGAGCCAGTTGCGCTGTGCCTGGCCCATTCTGGTCACAAAAAAAAAAAAAAAAAAAAAAAAAAAAAAAGACTAAGACTAGGGAGATTCCAGTTACTGACCGGAATGTGCTTTTGTTGCTCCTGGGTCCTCTACTTCCTCATTTTTTTTTTTCCCCCACTGACAGCAGTAATCCTGCCCTCGGGGTTAAACTTAAAGCCTGGAGGTTCTACCCTTGGTTGCCTGGTGCCTGGAGCAGGACCAGGCTGGAGTCAAAGAATGGGCAGGCATTAGGGGCAAGCTCTTGCTCTTCCTTTGCAGTTAAGTCAGGCTGGAAGTTAGTTACTGGAGAAGAGGGTGAGGGATGGCAGTCAGCCCCCCCCACTATGCATGGCAGGGGTCAGTGGTACCCGAGCCTGAAGTCAGGCTTCCAGGTTGTGAGGAGGACTGGAGGAGCGAAGGTTGGCCTGCTAAGACTGCAGCTTTATACCCTGTTGTAAGTTGCTGTTAAAATTTACTATTAATTATCTTTTAGTAATGCTGCTGTTAGTCCTAAACAGCTGTATGCCCAAATCACCACACAGGGACTGGGTTTATTTAGTTAACCTAGAACACAATGCTGGGCAATAGTTGTTCCATGCTAAACCTCCAAGCCCACGTAGTTTCCTAATGAAAGATCCCCGGAGGGTATCTTTCGTCTGAGAGACCCCTGCCCAAGGATCAACGAGCCCAGGCGTTTGGATGTAAACAGCAAGAGGCTTTTATTTTGATATACGGGTACCCGGGGCAAAAAGTCATTTGGGAGACTTCCGCGCCCCCTAGGTAGGAAGCTGGGGTTTTTATAGGGTTTTAGAGCAGGAGCACTGGTATAGAAGCAAGAAGCATGGTTATAGGGGGCTGATTGGTATATTTTTATGAGACCACGATTTGCGTCAAAGTTTGGCAGGGACACCAAGATTGACCACCCCTTAACGTGGCCACCTGTTATTTTGTTTTTCCCTATCTCAGCTGGAACAACCTCTGTCAGATATCCCATGAGGGTAGTCACAACAAGTTGTTTTTAACTCAACAGGGGCAGCCTGACCACAGATATCCCAAGTGGGTGACACAGCTAGGATTTCTCAGTAATTTTTTAGTTTCTCATCTGGCCTTTAGAGTTTTAAAACAGTGGTGTCTCACAAAATGGCGTTAGCTATGTTTAACTTAGGGTGAGGCAGGGGTCTTTCACTAACATTTAGATTTCCCACAATGTATTTGCTTTTAGTGATATATTAGGTCCAGTCCATCTTTCCACATAGTTTCAAGATCTCTCCCCTGCCCTTTCCCCCC